ATGATTAGTAGCATGAGATTGCTTATGAGATATTAGATAGCATGAGATTGCTTATGAGATATTTGATAGCATGAGATTGATTATTTGATTATATGAGAAAGCATGAGATTGTTGAGTACTTGAGAAAGCTTTAGATTTGTTTACAAGTTTGAGGTTGTGCTGTGATGTTGTTATATAAGCATGCCTATTCGTTATTAGGATGCACGCATCTAGAAGTTAATGCCAAGTATGATTAAGTGATTAAGTTATTTGATCTATGAATGTGAAACAAATATTTTCCAAAAATATACTGTATTACTTTACAGGGTTGAGTGGCGTTATACTTAGCTTCGTGCTAACGGGTTTTTTTTTTTTCTACTTGTTGTGTGTTAACCCCTTTCAGGTTAGCCCAGTTCGTAAGAAAGAGAACACGAGTTAGACCAGATTAGCTTAGATAGCTTTGTAGTCTAAACTCTTTTGATATTTTGGATTTGTAGTTGACTATCTTATCTTTTGATGGTATTGAACACCAGGGCTTTGTTCCCCAAGTTTGGTTGTAGTACTTTAAGTTTGACTCTTTTAGATTCCTTTTATAGCCTGTGTAGTCACCGTGGGCGGTGACACCTCCTTATGTTTATATAATTGTTTTAATCCGCTGCTTTAGTTTATCTTTAAAGGTTTAGTTTGTTAATTAAGTTTAAGAAAAGTGGGACACCCCCCCCCCCTAAACTCACTCCCAACCCTTATCGGGACCAACACTTTTTTGAAGGGATGTTTTCCAAGGTAAGCTCCCTGACCAGTTGACTTTGCAAATCAAATTCGATCCTCCCGAACAAGCTTGTTGCTCCAAAAACCAGTAAGGCCTTTAACATTATTAGTGGTGCATTTAACGGCTTCACAACTAGCTCTATCAATGTAAGGGAAGTTAGAAAGGATATTATTCACTATTCAACCAATAGAAACAAACAATACTAGGAATTAAAATGCTTGACTATACTAATGAAAATGCAAAAAAAAAAAAAAAAAACAAAACAAAACAAAACAAAAAACAAAAAAAAAACAAACAAACAAACAAAAAAAAAAAACCAATAAAAAAGTAAATGGTAAATAAAAGAAAGATAGAGAATGTGAAATGGCCCCTCAAGAGGAATACATGTAGATCATCCAACCAAACCAAACCATGTTGTGTCTGCATCCAAGAGCCCAAAAGTCCAGCATTCTATACGAGCTACTCTATTTCCCGTACGCACGGGCATGCCTTCGTGTAAGGATTTCAGAAAGTTGCATGCCAAGATGTATGCTAGTGTAGGCCATCATGCATAGTCTTTCAAAACGTTGCACACAAGGATGCACACTCGTGCAACCCTCGTGTCACAACTTCCAGAAAGTTGCACGCTACTTCTAGGATCATACTTCCTTACGTGCAAAGATGTCTAGAAATTTGCACGAGCTCTCCCACACACATACTCAACCCAAGATGAACACAACACTCAAAACCGTTGACATCCCTGGAACGACGCCATTTTGACAATCGTAGTAAGCGTGGGGTGGAAAGAAGTGTGAGGAAGGTGAAGCTTTCCTGGGATTTCATTCTCTAAGAATGGTCGTGTGAATTGAATGGTGTACGGTTAAGCACAAAAGCACAATCGCAATAGCAAGCTAGGTCGGAGCACTTGATACAAAAACATGAGTGCAATAACAAGACATAGCAGTAACAATCACTAAGTAGACAAGTAAGTAATGAGCAAGTAAAATAAGCAATGTGGATGAAAGGACTTGGATTAGGTAGGTGTTCCTTGCTTGGATTCCATAGAATAGTTCTAAGTATAGGAAGTAGTGTAACGCATTAACCTTAATTCTTGGAAGAGGCATTTTATAAAACACCTTGTGTCCATATCAAGTCACTTCCTAATTGGAATACAAAGCATCATAGCATCCAAACAAGTAAACCTAATCTAAATTCCTAAGGAACTAATTAACCATACATTGTCACATATGCATAACTAGCAAGGACTGTAGATGAACACATGATAAGGTAATTAAAAGCAAATGAAAGCAATTGAAAGCAAGTGACAGTAATTTAAAGCAAGTAATTGTAATTGAAAGCAATTGCAAAGCAAGAATTCTCCAAACTCTAGGAATCAAGTTGTCAATTCAAGTTGAGACCTAAAATCCCTAAGAGAACTCCTCTCTTTATTACAAGAGCTAAAGTACAAAGTAAATCTCTAAAAAGTTATCTAAAACTATCTCTAAAGCTATCCGGCCTATCCCCCTTTCTAACTTGATCCCTTGAGCTTATATAGCATTCAATCCTTCATTAAGGCTGATTTACGGAGCCATGCACGAGTTCGTCACGCGCGTACAAGCTTGAGCACAACTTTCTGCCAATTTCTCCATGAGCATGCAAGTTAACTTTATGATCTCTAGCGAAGTTGTAGCCCTTTTAGTTTCCGTTGCAATGTCACTTGAATCACCTCATTTGAACACTCATAGGCTGAGATATGATAAACATTCCGAGACGTCGCCGAAGTGCCCTTGAAATGGCATTGTTTTCGTATATATTTCACAAATGTAACCACAATTAGTCCTTATTCCTAACTTTATGTAAATTAAGCTATTCTAAGCATATAATAAGCTCAAAAGACTCCAAATAAAGCATAAAATGTCTACCAAATATCTCACAAAACATAGTATATTTGGCACTTATCATGGAATAAAAAATCGATTCAAATAGAGTTTTATAATGGTAATATTAACTTAATCTTCAAAATTCCTATTGGAAAAAGAGGACAAGAAGACAAATTGATATGACATTTTGAGCAATGAGGGGAATTTAGTGCGAAGAGGACATACCGGAGCATTATCCATCATAACTTACATAACATGTCAAATCCCTCAACTTCAAGCAACTTGAACAAGAAATCATGGAAAATCATGTGGGGGTTTAACATTTCATTGAAAATAAAAATCTTTTAATTTAGATTTAAACATGATGATGCCCTTCAAACTGGAGATAGATTGAATTGACTAAAAGAATGACAAATGTAAGTAATATTTGTTCATTATGCAATGAGGAAGGGGAATCAACTACACATCTTATGTGATTGTGCTTACTTTAGGCAAGTTTCGGCATTGACAAATATAGAGATTGATAGAAATTTCTTTTTTATTGACAATTGTGACCATTGAATTACACATCAACTTTAGAGAAGTGATGATGAATGCGTTACAAAATATGTTTTTACGATTTGGTGGTTGTGGAAGATAAGAAGGCAAAGTTTTTTAATGATTCTCTCTTGACTCCCTTACAGCTTATTGGAAGTATTTGGAGCATGATAGAGGACTATACTAAAACAAATAATAGTTCTCTACGGTCAAAGTTGAATGCATGAGTTAATAGTTTTGACAATGAGATAATTGGAGAAGTCTCAAGATATTTTCGTGCTTTGAAGAATAACTCTGCATTCTCTTGTTTAGAAGCTATTTTATTTTCTTTTTTCTTTTTAATTTTCTACTAATTCTTTTGATCATCTGTTAATGTATAGGCAAACAGCAATTATATTGTGCAAGGAACCAAGTGGCTTGTAGTCCACTGGTATTGAGTTGCTCCCCTAAGTGGGAGGTATAAGGTTCAAACCTCTATTGACGCAATAGCGTGTATATATAGGGTATCCCCCTTCCTTATGATAATAATAAAAAGTATTGTGCAATAAACCTGTAGTTGTGTTTTAATGAAACTATAATGTATATAAAATGAAACTAAATAACATTTTCGCATATTTGAGTGTATAATATCAAATGAAACTGTAGTTATATCGAAATGAAATTACAGTGTATACCAAATGAAATTGAATAATAGAGTTACTTTTTGCGGAACGACGCGAAACGAATGTCGTTTCTTTTCATTAAACAAAACGACGTCGTTTTGATACCTAGACTACAATACAATGTGGACCGCGGTCCACAATATAATTTGCCATAGGCAAATATGGTTTCTTGTTTTTTTTGTGCTGGCTAAATTCCTTTATACTAAATTTATCTGTTGGTCTCAATGTATAGAACAGTTTCTCATATTAATATATTTTTATCATTTCGATTAAAAAATAAATAAATGCAAAATATTTGTTGTAGAAATTGTATGGTGCGATCTTTTTGTGGATAAAAGAGACTTGAAGAAGTTTAAACATTATTATTATTATTATTATTATTATTATTGTTATTATTATTATTATTATTATTATTATTTCATCTACAATAGTACAACAAAGTACTCGAGAAACGTCATTTATATTCAGCAACTTGACTTATGTTTTACAGTTAAAAAAAAATAAGAATCTTAAAACAATAAAATATAGAAATTAAAGAAAATCAATTCAAACAAAAGACTACCCTATCAAATTACATAAATGTCAACCCTTCAATTCTTGACTGGCTTCCTGATCATACTGAACTTCATCAGCCTCTGTTGGCAAATGATCATCAAACCCAATTTGGTAGTTGAACACCAATTTTTGGATTCAACTAATTTGTTACTTTGCCCAAATCAATTTAAGTCTAATCATTATTCGTTTCAGCCAATTCCAATGTTATAATATTTGATTCGACAATACTGTCAACTCATGTCGGTAATCATTTCCCCCTTAATTGGTGCATGTAATGAGTATCATAGAAAATCCTTGATTGATAATGGGAAAAAAAAAAAAAAAACAAATTACGGAAAATGCTCTCAAAATTTTTACCTAAATATTTATTTGAGGTGATGTGAAAAACTGCCGTCACTAGCTTAACTACTTGAAGGTGTAAACGTGCAGTGATGAATTCTGCGATCCTTGTGATCTTAGCTGATAACCACAAAGAAATAAATCAGTCTAGGTTATTGATAACTGACCGGTTCAAATCAAAAATGTCAATAGGTCGTTTTCATTGTCTAAAATTCACTTTTGCTGATTTTTGCCAATATCTTTTAGTTTAGACTGTCATACATGTTTTTCCTAGTGTGGTTTACCTATACATATCTTCTGAATTTTGTGAGTTTTTTTTTTTTTTAAATGTGTATTTTGTGAGTTATTACACATGAATGAGATTTATCCAATGTATACTCTCGATCGAGTACGGACTACTACGATTTTCCCTCGCTCTTCGCAAAAAAACAAAAGTGTCTATCCCTTCGTATTCTTAACAACAATACGATTGAGAAGCATTTCCTGTTGAAGTAGTAGACTTGTGTATGGAAAGTGAAATATAGTATTTACGCTTAATAAACATTAGAATAAAAATAAATAAATAAATAAATAAATAAAAACATTAAAATTACAATTTTGATATTCATTTTAATGTCACCAAATATTATAATAATATACAATAATTATATGTAACGAATTGAACCAAAATCACACGCATGGGTATTACATGTATCAGAAACAAAATGGATGGGATACATGGTGGCGATATAATAATATGCAAAATAAGGGAAGAATTACATACCTTGTTGAATTGCAGGCATCTAACATATATATTATGGAATATACATGTTGGATCATATCTGTGCGGCATCATTTGAATATATTATATTGATACATAGGCGTCGGTTTCCATGCAAAGCTTGGCAAATTAGCAGTCCTTGCTTGTTATACCTCACATTCGTCGTCAGTTTGACCTTTAAATCATGTTCCCTTTTTCACACTAACACTATAGATGCTCACTATACTATACTATATTCTTATATATTTTGCAATGAATTCCTATAAATTTGTTGTAATTTTACAATCTCAATACCCATAATGTACTCCATTATCCAATAAATAAAATATTCTTATACATAGATGACCATGGAATATCTGTTATGTATAATAAACAGAACAATATATATATATATATATATATGCCCGGCCTAAATGATTGAGGGCAATGCAACCAAAATTGGGACCCTCCCACCGGCCCTAAATGATAAGATAAACCTGTATGATATGATCTGATGATGATGATATATATATATACGATAAAAGTAGAGTATTTGGTACCAACTACCAGTCCTTCACAATTAACTAAAGGTAAGATAGTTACTGTATGTATATAGAATTTATTAAGCATAAATTAAACTAAATAGAAATTGGAGAAAGAAACGAAACAGATCTGAAGTGGGTAATTAAGATGGTTGCATGTAATTAGATTAGGAATACAGTGTAGTTTCAAAGGTCGAACAGACAACGAAAGAAAGGTGGACAGCAAAAAGACTGCTCACTTCACAAGCATAGCACGGAAGCCACTCACCGGAGGTCGGAGGATCTACTGGATGAACAGTTTCTCATATATTGTCTCTGCCAAAATGAAACAGAAATGTCAAAATTAATATAATTAATCTTGGATAAAGAAGGAGGGTAAACCCCAACCATGATGGTTAGCTAAAGATACAAGGTCACAAATTCGAATTCCAGCCCTATTAGTTTGAACTGATTAGCTATTGCTAACCAATACTTGTTTACCTCCTTGTGACTATTTGCTAACTAAAGTCACAAGACGAGATTTACCCAGTATACATCTTTAGATGTAAGGTTTACCCAATACACATTCTCAGGAATTGGCTATGAGTTTTCTTCACCACCCATAAAAAATAAAATAAAAAAGAAGAAGAAGAAGGAGAATAGTTTTCACCTTCTCTTTCTTGATACAGAGGTTTAGGTAGCTAGCTGCTTAATTGTGGTGTGGCTTTGCTCTTCATTGGCCATATATTTATGGAGGGGGGAAGTGTGAAGTTGGTGTGTAGTGGTTGTTGTGTTGCACGTGACTCGTGAGAACACATTTGACTCTTCGCTAACCTACACCCACTCCATACGATAACTATACTACACTATACTATTCTTTTTTTTGAAGGTCTACACTATACTATTCAATTCGCCCCTTCACTTCAATTTATTTTAGTACGTAGATAAATTTAAAAAAAAAAAGTAGGGTGCTCTTTCGTAATATTATGCTCGTCATATATTCTTTTTAATATTTTGTTAGTTGATGAAAAAAAATAGAAATATAAAATTTTGGCCCTTTTTTAAAAAGAAATTAATTGCTGTACACTACATTAGCAACGTGTAAAATTAAAATAAAAAATAACAAGTAAATCTAATATTACTCATCAGCTTTTATGATGAATTATTTTAGTTCTAAAGAAATTATTATATATATATATATATAGTTGTATTTTTTACTTAATTTGTAAAAAAAAAAATTAATTAAAAAAAACAAAAGAAAAGGTAAAATAATTCTAAGGAAAATGCTTTTTTCATTTAAATTTCACAATCCACAGAAAATTCCATATGTCAAAAAAAAAAAAAAAAAAAGGCGTGATACTCATTTTCACCACAGAATACGTTATATTAATAGGAAAAAAAAAGAGTAAAAAAATGTATATGGTTTTACTGTTTTAGAATAGATGTAATTTGCAGAAGAATTTGAATTGTAAGAATATAATATTATCTTATTTGATTAAGGGTTATATTTTAAATTATATATATGAATCAATTTACTATGGTAGGAGAAAGGATCAAATATATATTGTGCATAATATATGGCGGATATAATCATATCATCACTAATACATTAGATCCCATGTATCAAAACTTTGAAACTTAACATGTGCAAACAAGAGTAATACTGTGATGGCCGACCTCCTATGAAGTTCTCATGCATGTTGCATCTCTAACCCTAACCATCATCATCATCATCATCATCACCATCATCATCATCATCATCATCATCATCATCATCATCATCATTATTATTATTATTATTACAGGTTAAAATAACATAATACACTCATACCCTTAACGATAATTTTGTATGTAATCGCTTATGAGCTAACAGCTAATTTACCAAACATACTTTTACAATTAGTTAATACTATCATAATATTAGCTAGTCAAATCTACTAACTCCATCATTTTAAATAATGAGCTATCAGTTAACCATTATTTACCAAACATCTCATTTTCAATTTGGACCGCAGGTTTTTAGGTGCGGCATGTACGGTTGATAAAGAATATGCGTGACTGTGAGCAAGAGTGAGGCAGGGACTGGCTTATTAGCTATGCCTTGTGCGGTTGTGAAGAGATCACTTTACACTTGCCAATAAAACAACAAAATAAAATAAAATTTTTATAACGAATTTTTTATTTTTATTTTTAAATCACATGTCATTACCCATGTGTTCCATCTAACTTTTTCTTTAGCTTGCTCCAATGACCAAATACGTACTCCCACCTTCCTCCGCACGAACCCTTGTATTCCCAACAACCTCCCCTTTTTCTTTTTCTTTTTCCCTTCTTAATTGGAAAATAAAAAATAAAGAGAAAAATGCACAAAAAGTCATAATGTACTTTAATTTTTCTACATTATGAGCTTTTGTGCATTTTCCCTTTATATTTTATTTTTTCTGTTTAAATTTTACAGTAATAAGTTTGCTTAATTTTAATTAGGTTTGTCCTTACAATAAAAATAATAGTTTTACAAAATTTTTGTTAAATATGAATGAATCAAATACTAACCCGTCACTTGTACGGTATACATTAAAGATGATCTCTAAAAGTATTATGGTTTATTAATGTTGAATATGTGACAAATTATTTAATTGGTTTGTCTTTGTTAGATAAAAAATGAAATGTGAGTGATGATTTTTAATGGAAAGACTAAACCAAACAGTTTTACTATGTTTATGGCACGTCAGTACACTACTCCAAATAGGTCATTGAGCGGTGATTATTAAGCTCAATCATTCCCAACTCAAAGTGTTGAGAATATACTTTCACTTAAAGGCTTAGTCAAAATGGCAGTCAATTGATTTTCTGTATTGACATATTCAATCGCGCAATATCCATCTTCTCAACATGATCTCGGATAGAGTGATACTTAATACAATGTGCTTAGTCCTTGAGTGTAACACTAGATTATGATTTATAGCAATTGCACTAGTATTATTATACTTGATGCTAATCTCCTTTGCTTCAATCCTATAGTCTTTAAGTTGTTCCTTCATCCAAAGAATTTGAGCACAACAACTTCCGGCCTGCAGTTATGTACTCGGCTTTTGCGGTACTTGTTGCAATGGAGTTTTGCTTCTTGCTGAACCATGAGACGAGTCTTCCTCCTAGGAATTGGCATGTTCCTAAGGTGCTCTTTCGGTCTATTTTGCATCCGGCGAAATCAGCATCTGAATATCCTATCAATTCGAATGATCCACCTTTCAGATACCAAAGTCCAACACTTTGCGTACCTTTAAGGTATCTTAGGATCTTCTTGGCAGCTGTGAGGTGACTTTCCTTTAGATTAGACTAGAATCTTGCACACACTCCTACGGTAAATGAGATATTTGGTCTACTTGCAGTTAAGTACAATATAGAGCCAATAATTCTTCTATGCTTAGCTTGATCCACTTCCTTTCCTTCGTTGCCAATGTCCATTTGTAACGAAGTGTTCATAGGGATCTTTACGAATGATTTTCCATCAACTCCAAATTTTTTTATTAGATCCTTGGTACATATACTTGATTTGGTTGATGAAAACCCTTCTTCACTTTGCTTGACTTGTAGACCTAGGAAGTAATTGATGAGTTCTCCCATCATACTCATCTCAAACTTACTCTTCATAAATTTGGAGAACTTCTCGCCAAGTGAAGGGTTGGTGCTCCAAAAGATGATATCATCCATGTAGATTTGCACCAAACGAATGTGTTCACCATCCTTGATACGGAATAGGGTTTTATCCACTTTACCTTTCGTGAATCCACAATTGATTAGGAAACATGGAAAGGTGTCATACCATGCTCTTGGTGCTTGTTTCAATCCATACAAGGCCTTTTTAGCTTGTAGACTTTATCTTCACCCATATTCACCAGGTGGTTGTTCAACATATACTTCTTCTTCCAATAGTCCATTGAGAAATGCGCTCTTGACATCCAATTGGAAGACTTTAAAGTCCTTGTAGGTGGCATAAGCTAAAAAGATACTTATAGCTTCCAATCTTGCCACCAGAGCGAAGGTTTCATCAAAATCGATGCCTTCCTCTTAACAATACCCTTTGGCAACCAAACGAGCCTTGTTTCTAACAATGACTTCTTTCTAATCCATTTTGTTCCTAAATACCCACTTTGTCTCAATTACATTTTGGTGCGAAGGTCTGGGAACTAGCTCCCACACATCATTTCTTTCGAATTGATGGAGCTCTTCGTGCATGGCTTGAATCCAATCGGGATCATTTAGTGCTTCTTCCACTACCTTGGGTTCGATTTGTGAAAGAAAGCAAGCCATCGTGCTTTCACGAATGGATGATCTTGTCATTACACCTTGCCTTATATAGCCAATGACGTGATCAGTTGGATGGTCCCATAACCATCTTAAATATGGTTGAAAATCACTTGGAGGTGCTTGATCATCTACTTCATGAATATTTGGTGTAGGTGCTTCCACTTCTTCTGACTATTCAAGTGGACGTAGCTGATTTGGTAGTCGAATGGTTAGATCTTCTAATGATTTAGACTCCACTATTCGGTTTTTCTCTTCGTTATCTACCATTCGGTCCAACGATTCGGATGTACTTCTCCGTGTTGTCTGCTCCAACGTCCAATCTGTTGAGCTTTTCGGTGATCCTTTACCTCTCGGTTGACAGTTCCTTCATCAAATACAACATGGATGGTGATAAGTGATTTTGGGACATTCTATGCTTATTTTGGGTCACTTGTGTTTGATTTATGATGAATAAGTTATGAAATGTTGTTTATGCATCACAAAGTCCACTAACTTGTGCATTCTAGTGCTTTGAATAACCCTTGGGCAAGAAGAGATCAGAGTAGCATAGGAGCTTGAAACGGAACAACCTTGGAAGAGTACAGAAGGAGGGAACAGTAAACCTCACACCACGATCATGGTGGAAGGCATGGCAAAAAACCTGGGACTATCACGCAGCTCCCCACGATCGTGGCGAGCGCCCTGAGACGTAAGTTGTAACACCCTGTGTTACGATCTTCAAGCCCGGATTAATTATGTAATTAATCCCGCTAAAGAATAGTTAAAAAGGATTTAATTTTGTTGGAATCCCCTTAATTAATTAATGTGGTCCACAATGGACCGTGGACCCTTGTCTATATTAAAGACCTTAAACCTGTTAGGAATAAAGAAAGTAGACCTTTTACTATTCAGATTCTAAGTAGGAATCCTAGACCTATATATCTGTTAGGAATAAAGAAAGTATGCCTTTACTATTCAGATTCTAATTAAGGATCCCTAACTCTATAAATAGGGGTTTAGAAAGCAATTAGAACCCTTAACACCTATAGTTATATTACACGAAATTATTCCCAAGAGACCGGCCAAGAGATTCCCCACCACCAAGCCTAGGGAGATCAATCGGAGGGAAATCTTAGAGAAGAACCTTAATAGCCAAGGGAGGATTAATTAAGGCTAAGAGGTATCACCCATGTCTTACAAAACCTATTTCCCTTGCTATTGTTTATTGATTGGCTCCGATTGAATGATTGATTGTGTGATTTTGTATGTATATCTTGTTAGAGCTTGTCTTTAGGTTTATATGGTGAATTATTGCTATTCTTGATATTCTTGATGGCCCTGTGTGGTTATTGGTTTGATCTTGTATTTAATTATGTCTAGAGCTTGTCCCTAGGGTTTATATCGTGAATCTCGTGTTGAGATGTTCTTG